CGGCTGAAAAATAACATATGGCTCCCCTCACTTAAAAATGCATCCCATGCACTTACAGGACACTCTGTTTATTTCACATCTAAAAAAAAAAAAAACGTGATGCACAGATTTGAAAATCTGGGGTCCGGGACCCCTCGCGTCTGCTGAAGTGCCTTCCTCGCTGTCACCGAGAGCCAACGTTTTAGCACCTCCCACTCTGGACTTGTGGGTAATTGGCGTTTTTAAAGTCGCCGTACGAACTGCGTAACGTAAAGGAAGTGAATCAGAGACGTAGCCTTTAGTCCAGCGTCTGTGGTCTCACGTTAACAAATACACCTATTAATAATAGAATCCTCACAGGAGGAGACGAAAGATGTTTTTTTTTTTTTTTTAACATCACCAAATATCATTTTTCACCAGGAGGGGATAGTGCATCTTTCAAAAAAAAAAAAAAACCTGAAACCCATTCCTTTGCATCTTCTGTGCTCTTATTTCAATACTCCTCTCTCCTTGTTCCCCTTCCACACATCATTAAACATATTATTATAACATGACTGTCAGCCTGCGTCTCTCTTCGCTCCATTCTTGCTCTGCCAGGTAATCAATTTGTCGTCACTCTCTGTAACCCCAGTAAAGTCATCAAGTGAAATGAGTTACAGCTGCAAAGAGCCTTCAAGAATACAGGAGAGAAAAAAAAAAAAAAAATGAACACGAGAAAAATGACAACACAGCCCAGGAATATTCCACCGCTTGATAGCACATCCCAGGTCTTGAAGATGAAATATTAATGCACAATTTGTTTATCTGCAGGCCCACATCTCTCCAGTGCCGAGCTGTTAATTTTCTATCGGCGCAGACAACGGATCAGTCAGTCATGAACTCTTCACAGCCATTACCGGGAGACATTTTGATTAAGTATTCCTAATGTAGTGGATAGGAAAGAATGAAAACACTCTGCCTGCCAACTTTTGATTGACCATTAAGCCACTGATGAATGTGCCTGTCAAAGAGGAGACAATTACCTCAACAATGAAGAAACTCTTCTGGAAGGCTTATTTCTCTATAGGGCTGACACATTTACCAGAGTACAGGCGAGGCAGCTGAGAGCGTGTAAAGGGATCACTTAGGCATCTGCTCCAAAGTTCTCTGAATAAAAAATAAAAAACTGGGGACATTGGTGTTTTTTTTTTTTGTTTGTTTTTTTGTTGTTTTATTTTGAGAAAAGAGAGCTTTTTTAAGACTCAAATGTGGGAATGAAAATAAAATAGTCCCTGCTTGTGTGTGTGTATACATGTGTACGCATAAACACAGAGTGCGTCGGTCAGATAAGGGTCTCGGTATCTTAAGCTGGGCATAAAGAGACGCTATTATTGGCAGAGGAAAAAAAAATCGCCATCTGGTCGCTACATCCGCAGCCATAATAAAGACTGATAACTTCTCCAAGTGACTGCGTCCTCACACACAGGAACAGCCTTGATCAATCTGCTCTTAATTCGTCAGCTCCATCATAATGAGGCCGTTATAAGGAACATTAGAATTCAGAAGGAACAAGTGAGGATCCCAGACGGGGTCAGGAGTAACGTTGGCACCGCGACCTTTTTCCGTAACGGGATTAAAAAAAAAAAAAAACCACGAGAGCGAGGAGGACGCGGTGATTTTTAGTGTCACCAAAGAGCCAAACATTACAGGATTACATTACACAGACAGCAACGCTTAACACACACACACACACACACACACACACACACACACTCACACACACTCACAGAATAAGACGTGCTGGATGTAAACAGTAATAAAGGCCTGCTGGAAGTTGGAATTAATAATAAAAAAAATGTATAATAATAATAATAAAAAATCTGCAGCTTCAACAAACTGTAAATCTGACGTCAGATCAAACCGACGACAGATTTTACCACCACATCCTGCTGCACCGTTTAAATGGTGTTTTGGAGGTGTGTGTGTGTGTGTGTGTGTGTCTGCTGTGAGCACTGAGAGAGAGAGAGAGAGGGTGAGTGTGTGTGTGTGTGTGTGTGTGTGTGTGGGAGTCAGTCAGTGTAACCCATTCTCCATTTGTCCATAAGATTATGAAGAGTTCACACAGAGTTCATCTGCTACGGATACGGCAGCTCCACATTTTTCAGCCGCTCTCCTACACTTTACACTTTCTATGTGGGTCAAATCAAACACGGTGAGGCTGAAGGGAAGGGTTTGAAAAAACAAAATTAAAAAATTAAAAAATGTGAGAGTGATGACTGCTGGGAAAAATAAAACTTCCAGATGAAGAGATGTGAAGAAGACAAACATCACAGCCTGAGTGAGAAACGTAAAAACAAAAATAATAATAATTCCAGTGATGCAGCCGTTACCTCTCATCCCTCTTATCACCTATTGTTTAATCAGCTGCTTTCGTCACCAATGCCTGGGTTTCCAAAACAGGGGTTCGAGGTCCCTGCTGGTGCCCTCCTGTGAGCATCGCAGGGTCCCCAGAGAAATTAAAACTAACTTAAAAAAAAAAAGAAACTTAAAACTTAAAAACTACAGTAACTGTGACCAGTTCTAACACTGAGGGTCAGGGACCGTAGTTAAAACTTCATTTTCTAACACAGCGCTGTCTCAAACATCAGGCTCCGAAATGTGTGTGTAAAATAAAAGTTTGTGTCTCGATCACCACCTAAACACACCACAAGGTGATACATGTGGACAATTTTGCTTTTGTTTGTTTTGTTTTTTTTTACAAATTACTAAAGAAAAAAAAGTAGAACAGATTTATGTTTGTATCTTACCTGCAGCCCGTTTAGGCGCCTGCTGTTTCCTCCGAGGCATTCTTTAGAATTGTCTCTCGTATTTTCTGAGTGTGTAGTCGCAGTTCACTCCTGTGCCCAGGTGAAATGTGAATGCGGTCTCTAAAGGTCCATGCATAGAGAGGGAGGAAGAGAGAGTGTGTGTGTGTGTGTGTCTGTGAGAGAGAGAGAGAGAGAGCGAGAGAAAGAGAGAGAGAGAGTCTTTATTTCAGCTTTCGGAGTAGTTGAGTCTCTGTTTCACTGTCAGAAAAATCCAGTTTCAGTGGAAACAGATGCTTCTTCTCCTTCTTCTTCTTCTTCTTCTTTCACCTCCTCCTCTTCCGACGCGGCGCTGATCGTCTCCTCTCACCATCCGCTTTTGTCCATCACAGCTTCTGTACATATGCTGATCGACGTGTGTCACTCAGCCCCTCGGGCTGTTTCTTTCTGTCTTTCCTTCTTTCCTTCTTTCTTTCTTTCTTTCTTTTTCCCCCGGCGGTGAAACCGTGAAGAGAGTACGCGTAAGATCGGCGTCGGGCTCTGGCTGAGTGCCGCTGCTGCTGTGACGCTGTGGCTGACTGCTGCGTTACGCACGGTGCAAAGGAGAAGAGAGGCGATGCCAGCAGACATCGATCCACAGAACAAACTGAACATTAAAAACTCCTCCCTCCTCGCCTGGACTTGATGATGGCAGCGAGACATTTGTTACACTAGATAAGCATGAGTTTATTAAAGGAACAGAGGCCAGTGAAGGCAGCAGCAGCAGCAGCAGCAGCAGCAGACGGTGGCAGCCTCTGATTTTCGGCTTTTTATTTCCCTTTTTTCTCTTTTTGTTTTGTTGTTTTTGTTTGTTTTTTTTAACTGCAGCTTCGGACCAAACACATGTATGGAGTTCGGGATGCGTCCAGTACCTGTAACAGACGGATCATGTTCAGATTTAATACTTAGAAAAGACACGAACCAACAGACGCTGTGATGTGTTGTGATATTTTCATGTTAAAATCTACTTTGGGAAATGCACAGTAGTCAAAGTGCATTCAACTCTCACTGACATGAATCAAAATATATAATACACAGGTACACGGATAAGAGGAGGTATTAATGTTTACATATAACAAGTTTTATGTTTATTTTTTTCTTTTGAAAAAAATCTTAAATAACAAATTTAACGCAGGGAAGAGTTTAAATTGTTCATTTTAATTTATTAATTACAGACAAACAACATTTCCTTTTATTTTCTGGCACAGAAGTAAATTGATTAGCAAACTGCAGGTAGGGGGCGGTAGTGCAACCAAAGTATTATTATGAACTCTTGTTCTATCATTCTGACGTATGGCGTTAAAACCCATCAACTTTTGCACGGGAACTAGTTGGTGAGCGGAGTTGACAAATACGTCATCACACTGTATGCAGATGACGTCTTTGTTTACATGTGTGTGAGTTCAGACTTACGAAAAATCGAGTTATGTTGCATCGTAGGAATGGAACTCACACATGCAGTAGTAGTAAATATTTATACATTCAAATGTATTTTTCTTCTCATGTAGTTGAAGTGGTGCAGAAAATCCTCTTTGAAGGACCGTCATCTTCTGGAGCTGAATTCCTCACAGGGTTGAATGAAGAAAGAGCTAATCCCACCTGCTATCAGGGGGGGGGGGGCCACCCCGGACAGTTCATCTCAGGGTCACGTGTAGACAGCGACCGTTCACACTCTCATTCACACCTGAGACCACGTTAGAGTAAACAGTTAACGTTGTTCTGCTAAAACCCAAAAATGTCATTTCGTGCGTTAGCTCATTCTTGTACCTTATCAACTGTTAGCCCCGTCTCTCAGTTCCTTCCCCTTTTTTTCCGACGTTACATGTATCGCCAGTGTCGCAGCCAGTGTTTTTTAAACTCCTCGACGTTTGATGCCGTATCATTTGATCTCCACACCAAAGCCTTCCTCTCTCTTTAAAAGCCGCTCATGACCTAATCAAATATGAAGCTGAGGTGATGGATGGCTTCATTTCAGAGGGACAACACCCCTCACAGATCCAGGCTGAGGCCCGCATTACAAATGGCTTCCTGATAATATTCCATCACCCTATTTTGTGTCTGTCACTCATTTTGCCAATGATACCAGAGACCTCCCGTGAACTCCACCTGAACCTGCGCGATCAATCACCGCTCAGATCGAGCCTGAGCCGCACCTGCCTGACAGCTCCTAACACCCCGTGTGTACACAAAGCATACGGACGCACTGACAGGCGTTGGAGGAGCGTCCGCCAGCCTATCTCTCCACCACTGGCCTTCTCCCTCTGCTGCTGCTGCTGCTGCTGCTGCTGCCACCTGTACACCCTCACCTCGACCACACCTTTGTTCTAAAACTGTTTAAAAACGTTTTAGTCGACTCCAGATTAATGTCGATTTGCTGGAGTTTTTTTTTTTTGGTATCACCGGTGTCTCAGATACGCAGCAGTGCTCGTACCTGGACTGTGCAGCAGTGGAATATGACAAACACATGTCTTGTTAGTACTCCCCTTAAAGCCACCTGTGGCTTACAGGAAATCTGCAGCACATGTTCCAGAGAAGTAGATAAAAAAAAAACCATCATGTCTGACCAACTTTGCTCTGAGTTTAAGGACAGCCTCGTATAATCAGTGC